TCCTTAAGCATAAAATAATTTTACACAAAGGCTCTCTTCTCTATTTTCAAGTAAAAATGGAATACAAACTGGGTGAAATAACAGTAATTTGGCAGTACTGTAACAAAAAAATTCTTGTATATATTATTCATACTTATTTACAGGTTGTTACAAAGTGTATATATATATCTGTAAAAGCAACACATACATACTTAGAAATATTTTTTTTCTGTGGAATGTTTTTGAAGATTAGTAATTTGTCTTCTGCATATGGCAACTGTGTTGTATTAACTTTTATTTTGTGATTATTGTATCATCCCTCGAATGATTAAATACAGTCTGAAAATTTCAGGGCAGATAGATCTTGACCTGATGAACATCTCTACTCCATGTCAGATTTGCTCTAAATGCTTTAGTTTCAGAGATAAAGCCAACAAGAGTGCACATGCTGAAATGTCTCGCCTTCTTTACTAATCATTGATATTATGTTGATAGTCCTAAATATAAAGCTTTATTACAACTGTCATATAAACTTAACATTAACCAAGAAAACTAAACATTGACCAATGAACCATAAAAATGAGGTCAAGGTCAAATGACACCTGCCAGCTAGACATGTACACCTTACAATCATTCCATACACCAAATATAGTAGACCTATTGCATACAGTATAAGAAAAACAGACCAAAACACAAAAACATAACTATAACCACTGAATCATGAAAATGAGGTCAAGGACAAATGACACCTGCCAGACAGACATGTACACCTTACAATCATTCCATACACCAAATATAGTTCACCATTGGCTTATAGTATTAGAAAAACAGACCAAAACACAAAAACTTAACATTGACCAATGAACCGTGAAAATGAGGTCAAGGTCAGATGAAACCTGCCAGACTGACATGTATCCCTTATAATCATTCCATACACCACATATAGCTGACCTACTGCTTGTAGTATCTAATCACGTAACTTTAACCTTGATCACTGATCCATGAAATGAGGCTGAGGTCAGGTGAACCCTGTCTGATGGACATGTAGACGTTGCAAGGAACCCATATAACAAATATAGTTATCCTATTACTCATAATAAGTGAGAAATTTACATAACAAAAAAACTAAACTTTTTTTTCAAGCAGTCGCTGAACCATGAAAATAAGGTCAAGGACATTGGACATATGACAGATGGAAAGTTCGTAACATAAGGTATCTGCATACAAAGTATGAAGCATCCAGGTCTTCTACCTTCTGAAATATAAAGCTTTATACAAATAGTTTACGCCGCTGCCGCCAGATAGTAATACCTATGTCTCACTTTCTGCGACATTCGTCGCAGGCGAGACAAAAACTGCATTTTATCCCTATGTTCTATTTTTAGCCATGGTGGCCATATTGTATTTGATGTTTTTGAACTAGACCTCCAAGATTTATTTAATGTTTTAAACTAGACCAATAGTTTTATTATCAATCAATCAATCACCCAAGTTTTAATTGATGATTTAAACCAGGAGCTTCCTAAATTACATCTAATGTTTCAAGCATGGAAACCCCTTATTGTTTTTCTAAATAAGGTCTTTCAACTACGTTAGGAAAGACCTTATTGTTTTTCTAATGTTTTTTTTCCATTTTTATAGGGGCATAACTCTAGAAAGGTAAAAGTGACGCCACCAAAATTCAAACTTGATCTGTGTTTTGTGGTAATAAGCATTGTGTATAAGTTTCACAACATTTGGTTGAGGCAAACTAAAGTTAGAGAACGGAAACAAATTTTGGGACGTACGTACGTACCGACGGACAAGGGTAAACTTAATGCCCTCTCCTCTACAGCAGGGGCATAAAAAAGACCAAAACTCAAAAACGTAACTTTGACCACTGAACCAAGAAAATGAGGTCAAGGTCAGATGACACCTGCCAGTTGGACATGTACACTTTACAATCATTCCATACACCAAATATAGTAGACCTATTACTTATAGTATCTGATATATGGACTTGACCACGAAAACTTAACCTTGTTCACTGATCCATGAAATGAGGTTGAGGTCAATTGAAAACTGTCTGACGGGCATGGGGACCTTACAAGGTACGCAAATACTTAAAATAGTTATCCTATTACTCATAATAAGAAAGAAATTAACCTTACAAAAAATCTTAACTTTTTTTTCAAGTAGTCACTGAACCATGATGAAAATGAGGTCAAGGACAATGGACATATGACTGACGGAAACTTCGTAACATATGGCATCTATATACAAAGTATGAAGCATCCAGGTCTTCCACCTTCTAAAATATAAAGCTTTTAAGAAGTTAGCTAGCTAAGGAAAGGTTCAACAAAATTTAAAGAAATACTACTACAGCATGTTGATTTAAAAAATAACAGATTTTAAAACCATGGGGTCAATAGACAATTTTGTTCATGTTTGACTTATTTGTAGATCTTACTTTGCTGAACAATTGTGCTGTTTACAGTTTATCTCTATCTATTATAATATTCAAGATAATAACCAACTAGAGGCTCTCAAGAGCCTGTGTCGCTCACCTGTATTTACTGATGCTTTGGAAATCATGTAAAATAAGGTTAAAATCATATTTAATAGTATTAGATATTAGATATTATAATGCTATCTAAGATAATAACAAAAAACTGCAAAATTTTTGTAAAATTACTAACTCAGGGGCAGCAACCCAACAACGGGTTGTCGGATTCGTCTAAACAATTCAGGACAGATAAATCTAAATCTGATGAACATTTTTGCCACCTGTCAGATTTGCTCTAAAGGCTTTAGTTTCAGAGATATAAACCAAAAACTGCATTTTACCCCTATGTTCTATTTTTAACCAAGTCGGCCATGATGGTTGAAAGGCGGGGTCATCGGACAAATTTTTTAAACTAGATACCCTAATAATGATTATGGCCAAGTATGGTTAAATTTGTCTCAGTAGTTTCAGAGAAGAAGATTTTTGTAAAAGATTACAAAAATTTACGAAAAATTGTTAAAAATTGACTATAAAGGGCAATAACTCCTACAGGGGTCGAATGACAATTTTGGTCATGACAACTTATTTGTAGATCTTACTTTGCTGAACATTATTGCTCTTTACAGTTTATCTCTATCTATAATAATATTCAAGATAATAACCAAAAACTGCAAAATTTCCTTAAAATTACCAATTCAGGGGCAGCAACCCAACAACAGGTTGTCAGATTTGTCTGAAAATTACAGGGCAGATAGATCTTGACCTGATAATCAGTTTTACCCAGTCAGATTTACTCTAAATGCTTTGGTTTCAGAGATATAAGCCAAAATCTACATTTTACCCCTATGTTCTATTTTTAGCCATGGTCGCCATCTTGGTTGGTTGGCGGGGTCATTGGACACATTTTTTAAACTAGATAACCCTAATGATGATTGTGGCCAAGTTTGGTTAAATTTGGCCCAGTGGTTTCAGAGGAGAAGATTTTTGTAAAAAGCTAACGATGACGGACAACTACGGACGACGGACGCCAAGTGATGAGAAAAGCTCACTTGGCCCTTCGGGCCAGGTGAGCTAAAAACTGCAAAATTTCCTTAAAATTACCAATTCAGGGGCAGCAACCCAACAACGGGTTGTCTGATGCATCTGAAAATTTCAGGGCAGATAGAACTTGACCTGATGAACATTTTTTACTCCATGTCAGATTTGCTCTTAATGCTTTAGTTTCAGGGATATAAGCCAAAAACTGCATTTTACCCCTATGTTCTATTTTTAGCCATGGCGGCCATGATGGTTGATGGGCGGAGTCATCGGATACATTTTTTAAACTAGATATCCTAAGGATGATTTAGGCCAAGTTTGGTTTTATTTGGCCTTGTAGTTTCAGAGGAAAAGATTTTTGTAAAAGTTAACAGACGACGAAGATGACGACAGACACCAAGTGATGAGAAAAGCTCACTTGGCTCTTTTGGGCCAGGTGAGCTAAAAATACCAGTCAATACTTTTTTAAAAACAATTATTTTTATTGTCTGGGAATCAGAAATTCATTTAACATATGGCCTTAGGTTTTTTGGAAATGTATGTCCCTCCTGAGAAAAAAAAACTCTTACAAATAATTCTTGAATTACAGGGTCAATTAAAGAATTGCAAATGGACTATTGAATCAACTGAATACAGATTACTTATAACTTATAGTAAATGAAAAAGCTTAACTATAAGCATACAACCTTACGCTAATTTTTACGAAATTCAGTGAATGTATTACTTGTAGTAAGTGATTGAAGTAAGGAAACTTAAGGCTGTTTTGCGAAAATTGTCCAACAGACATGTTAATCATCATATAATTCTATAGAATAACTATAGTTTTTTATTCTAATATTCTTGTCATGGTTAGAAAATACACAAAATAACACCTTTACAAACTCAATATCAATTTTATATTCTATTTTTAGAAATTTACCTGTGATAAAATAAACGTCGTTCATACATTTGTGTGACGCACCGTTTATAACCTGGTGTACTGTCGTAAAATCATGGGAAGTAACCATTGTTATTCTGTGGTTTACATGTAGTAATGTACTGTTATATTTTTGTTTATGTATTTCTCTGTCCTGAGTATTCTTGCGTTTATTTGTTCTGTATTCCTGTCGCGTAAGGTTGTCATTTTAGCGGTATTTTTAACATTGCCATATAAGCTGGAGGTTTAGCTAGCCATAAAACCAGGTTCAACCCACCATTTTTTTCTTAAAATGTCCTGTACCAAGTCAGGAATATGACAGTTGTTATCAAATAGTCCATTTCTATGTATGGTGGCGTTAGTTTTTGTTGCAGTTCAGTGTTTCTGTTGTTCCGTTGTTTTCCTCTTATAGTAGATGTGTTTCCCTCCTTTTTGGTTTGTGACCCAGATTTGTTTTCACTTAATCGATTTATGACTGTTGCATAATGTTAGTAAGGAACTCATCGAGAGCAAATTTCCTTACCATGTGTTATTGATATATAAAGGAAGTGAGAGTAACTCACTGAGAGATAATTCACTTACTGATTAATGGATTTACTTCAGCAGGTTCAAGCTTTTTCCCATCTGTAATAAAAATTTAAAGGAGTGGGTTAACAAAGGGTACATTTGGCCCTAAGATTTTAATTGGTTTTTTTTTTTCTAAATTTAGGTCAAAATTCTACAAAATAATTTCCGTTTGGTACATCATATTATTGATAACATATTATAGTAATAACAACTCCTCAATTATGCAGAATTTGTGTTGTAACATCAGTTTCGGTCTCATTTCTCCATAATTTTTAACAGTGACTTTAACAGAAAATGTCCAGGGATTAAATATATTGATTGGTACCTTTTGCTTAAAGAACATTTTGGATTCTCGGTTGCAGCAAAGGTTTTTCTTAAGCTTTTAGCTTCAAAATGCACAAAATAACCGTATTTTGACTATATATTCAAAATGTGTTTTGTCGTTTGTTGATGTGGTTCATAAGTGTTTCTCTTTTCTCGTTTTTTAGACCATTGGTTTGCCTGTTTGAATGGTTTTACACTGGTAGTTTTTTGGGCCTTGTATAGCTTGCTGTTCGGTGTGAGCCAAGGCTCCGTGTTGAAGGCCGTAATTTGACCTATAAGGGTTTACTTTTACAAATTGTGACTTGGATTGAGAGTTGTCTCATTGGTACTCATACCACATCTTTTTATATCTATCTATTGACTTATGATACTCTTATGAATAAATTAGTTCTACCGAGCATTAAGGCTTTGAAATAGAACAATTTAAGAACCAAATTATGAAAATGTTTAATGATAACATTGAAATTCAAGGACATATTTGAACTGATTAAGTTAGTATAAAAAAAATTAAAAGCCATTATTCTTTTTATCAGCATTTCGTCTTAACAAAACGCTTATTCAGATAAAAATATTAACTCAAATGAGTTAGTAAAACTACTTTTACAAGATCAAAACATTGTGATAGTTGTTCGGTTGTATGAATGAAATCGTATGCATTTCATTGATAAATTGAAGTGAATGGACATAAACACACGCTATTGTTGCACTGATAAGTGAATGCATTAATATACCTAATATTGCATTAATATACCTAATATTTTCGATTATCAAGTCTTGTCCTTAATCTTAATAAAAGAACAGAGTTCAAATATCCCCCGTGTTGCACATATTTTATTTGTTTAAGGGCAATAATTAAAAAAAAAACCTCTTTTTTGGTTCTGTAATTTTTTTTTTTTAAATATCTTAAGAGAAATGTAAAGAAATGAATGCTTGCGAGCCAGTGCAATTCAATTTCTGATATAATTGATATTTCCAATGGGCATAACTCTTTTAAAAATATTCAATCAGCACTGATTTTTTTAGGACATGTCCTTTATAAACCTTTGAAATAAGTTTCATAAAAATCTGGCCAAATTGTACATGTACAAGCACTTATAATGCAATTCCCATAAATTTAACATTTCCAAGGGTCATAACTCTTTTTAAAATAACTAATTGGCACTGACTATCGATCTTCTCCGAGACATTACAGATATTATCAGGAAACTTAAGGCTGAATAGTGAAAATTATCCAACAGACATCTTAATCTTACAATATTTCTATAGAATAACTATAGTTGTTCTAATGCATAATGTTAGAAAGAAACTCACTGAGAGCTATTTCAATCTCTTACCTCTTACTTTATACTCTACAATCTTGTTTTCATTTGTATCTAAAAATTAAAGGTTGAAACTATTACATTTAAGCATGCACCTAATTTTACACCAATAGTATTTTATGTCTATATTCAAGACAAACATGGTATACAAACTGGATTAAATACTAATTGATACATTACATAATTCTATGGAATAACTATAGTACTTCAGTCACATCTTAATACATCAGGTTAAAATGACTTTCAAATTTAAGGATTTAATTAATAGGTATCCATCTGAATTAACATGATTAACTCCAAACTGACAATTTTAGCTTTTTTTATCCATTAATTAAATCCCTAAATTTGACAGAAATAAACCATACTACCAATCAACCTAGCATTCTGTAAGATCAATACATAATTGAGATAACTGTAGAGTTACATGAAAATAAAAGTTGATTTGAATTATAGAAATTTTTAAAGATGACTATCTGAATTTAGTCTGAACTGAAAATTTTTGATTTTTTTTACCTATTTAAAATCATTGTTAATTAAATCCTTTATTTTGACAGCAATAAACCAAACTATCAAATAAAGTTACTGAAATTTTTAAAGGTTACTATCTGAATTTAGTCTCAGTCAGGATTTTACTTCGTTAAAATTATCTCCCCATTATGCCACTGAATTTATATAATCTTAAAAATGGAAGCCATTGTAGTGATGACGCACTGTCAATTTACCCTTGAAAAACTGATGAATTTATCCACAAAGTATCATTACAATCCTTATAAAATTGAGAATGGAAATGGGGAATATGTCAAAGAGACAACAACCCGACCAAAGAGCAGACAACAGCCGAAGGCCACCAATTGGTCTTCAATGCAGCGAGAAAATCCCGCACCCGGAGGTGGTCCTCAGCTGGCCCCTAAATAAAATTGTGTGCTAGTTCAGTGAAAATGGACGTCACACTAAACTCCAAAACATATAAATGAACTAAAATTAAAAAACATACAAGACTAACAAAGGCCAGAGGCTCCTGACTTGGGACAGGCCATTTAATGTACTTTTATGCATATGGTCAACTTAAAACTATTGCCTGATCAGTTGTCAGGGGGAGTTTTCGAAAGTTCAAGAATATTTTAAAAAATTCAAATTAAATATTTCTAAAAATTTTCAGAGGTTGAAGACTAATTACCTTAGATAACACCTGGGAACAGTATATCTAACGGGAAATGAATCTGATAGGCTTTTCATTATAAAATGTATAAAATCTCAGACTCCACGAGACTATGCCAGATTTATGGATTTTGGTGGCGTCTGACTGAAAAACTATCGGAACTGCTCAACAAATTAACCACATAATTCTAATCGTAAATAAATAAAAGTTTTATCATAAAGTAGATACATTTTGTCATATAAAATGACCAAGATAAGTATGATTTATTTGATGTGAAGTGTTTTATAATGTTTTTGAATTTGGGAAGGCAATCGGTGCCATTTTTTTATTACCCTGTTTGCATTCTGTACCATTCTGTGATAAAATGAATGCGATTATAACAAATTTGAAGTGACAGAATACAAGTTTGATACACTGGCATCACTGTAAAACTAGTTTGAATGACATTTTATTGATATTATCAGAAATTATTAGGATAATAGCGAGTACGTTTTTAACACATGTCCGTTTCTTTATTACCTATGACCCGACGATAAAATCGGCTACATTTAGGTAGTGTCAAGTCCTGTCAATATATATGTTCCTGATAACACACACACAAAATGAAGTTATTTGAAGTTATGCATTTCTAAGATCCACTAGAAAAGTCTGTCATCAAGTACTTTTAATAAAAATTTGTTATTTGAACACACTTACTCTGTTGTTATGACTCACTAGAAAGGTATTTCACTTGACCCATATATCTTATTTTTTAGAACTGTAAATTTCTGATGTTATTATATCAACCTAGAGCCTAAATATATAAAAATAATAGAATCTGAAGCGAGATGATGTATCAAATATTTTTCTTTAATACGTTTTCAAGACAGAATATCCAACTCAAACACGCCGGAACATAAAAAGGTCTGCTCGACTTTCTATTCTCGATGAAATTATTGCCCATTTTGGGGGTTTTTCCCAAAAAAGCTGTTGCCAGGGGGCAGAGATGCAAATTAATGCTTTAAAAAGACCAATCTATTATCTTTCTCTGGAATTTTTTTCGGCTGAATTTATGCTTATGCACAAAAAAGATCCACATGTATTTGCACCTACCACAATCGACTGTTTTGTGAAAATTTGCCTATAATTCAAAAGTTTACAAATATCTCAAAGCTCCATACCACAATTTAAGTAAAAACACATACATAAGATGCATAAAATCCTAGGCTATGCACATTCAATAAATTTTAAAGCCCATAGAAACAGATGTAAATAATTCAAATTTACCAACTTGGTAATTTTTACCTTCTCTAACGACTTCCATTTCTTTTGTTTAATTTCAACTGTGTTTCCGCCTGGTCTAAACTGAAAATTCCAGCTTTTTTTACCTATTAGTTAAATCCTTAAATTTGACAGAAATAAACCAAAATACCAAATAACCTTGTGTTTTGTAAGATCAATATATAATTGAAATAGCTGTAGAGTTTTATGAAAATCTAAGTTTATTTGAAAAAGTTATAGATATTTTTAAAAGTGATTATCTGAATTTAGTCCAAACATGATTATTCTAGCTTTTCTTTTACTAATTAATACAATCCTCAACTTTGACAGCAATGAAGCCAACTACCAGATAACCTGGAACTTTGTTAGATCAATATATAATTGAGATAGATGGGCTGTTTCTGACCAGTCGAGACTAAATATAAAGGTCAAGACTGAGTTGAGACTTGTCGAAACTGGTCGCGCATTTGGCGAGACCATATTCAGACTATACCAAGATTATCAAGTACTCAATCAGACTTATCAAGTAAAGTCAAGACCAAAGTCGAGTACAGTTAAGTTCTGTCGAGATTATGTCGAGTCTTGTCAAGTGAAATCTGTGCTTGACCAAACTAGCACAAAATATGGATTTTTCAAACTCTGAGCAGTTGGCAGTGTACAAAATAAATAATTCAAAAGACAACAATTTGAATTTGCAATCAATAACTTTACAAACAAAAAATTGTGATTGTTATTTATAAGTCATTAAAAAATTTAGTCACACGACCATTTTCCAGATTCCGTCTTTGACAAAATTGACTACAGAATCAGAATTTTTATCAGTCAGACCACCTGTCCCCTTCACTACAAACTCTCGTGAAGTAATTTATCTATACTCTTAACAATTGCTGCTGATGAGGAAACCAATATAAAAGTGTATTCAAATTTATAATTCTGGGACAGCTATTAGCCAGGCATTTGGGTTGATTATGAACTATCGTTCCTTTTCATTAATTATAGGTTAGTTACATCAGACATCAAGAGGTTACATTTACTTTCTGAAAAAAGGACCAATAATTGCAGATATGTTTGCAATTATCCAAGCTTGCTCAAAGCTACTACAATGATTGCATAATTTGTTTTTTCTAATTATTATGCCCTCGCCGTAGCCGTAGCGGTGGGGGCATTAAGTTTTACCCTTGTCCGTCTGTACGTACGTACATCTGTCCGTACGTCCCAAATTTGGTTTCTGTTCTCTAACTTGAGTTTGCCTCAACCAAATGTTATGAAACTTATACACAATGCTTATTACCACAAAACACAGATCAAGTTTGAAATTTGGTGGCGTCACTTTAACCGTTCTAGAGTAATTCCCCTTTATAAATGGAATAAAATGCTCCGCTGGGCGCAGCTTGATACAACCGCAGAGGTCGAAACCTGAACAGTTGGGGCAAGTATGGACACAACATTCAAGTTTGATACAGCTCTGAATTTGGATTGTGATTAAATATTTGACACAGCATAGGTTTCTGACACAGAATGAATGTGGTCTAAGAACTTAAAATTTTTTAATTTACCTATTATGGTCCAATATCCAAAATCTAAATACATGGTTAGATTCAGCATATCAAAGAATCCAAAGAATTCAATTTTTGATGAAATCAAACAAAGTTTAATTTTGAACCCTTTTGACCTCAATGTGGACCAATTTGATAACGGGGCCCAAAAATCAAAATACATGGTTAGATTCAGCATATCAAAGAACCCCATATATCCAATTTTTGTTGAAATCAAACAAAGTTTAATTTTGGACCCCAACTTGGACCAACTTGAAAACTGGGCCCATAATCAAAAATCTAAATACATGGTTAGATTCAGCATATCAAAGAACCCCAAGAATTCAATTTTTGTTAAAATCAAACTAAGTTTCATTTTGGACCCTTTGGACCTTAATTTAAAAAACGGGACCAAAATTAAACATCTAAATACACGGTTAGATTTGGCATATCAAAGAACCCCAATAATTCAATTTTTGATGAAATAAAACAAAGTTTAATTTTGGACCCTTTTGACCTCAATATGAACCAATTTGATAGCGGGGTCCACAAATAAAAAATCTAAATACATGGTTAGATTCAGCATATCAAAGAACCCCATATATTCAATTTTTGTTGAAATCAAACAAAGTTTAAATTTGGACCCCAATTTGGACCAACTTGAAAACTGGGCCCAAAATCAAAAATCTAAATACATGTTTAGATTCAGCATATCAAAGAACCCCATATATTCAATTTTTGTTAAAATCAAACTAAGTTTAATTTTGGAACCTTTGGACCTTAATGTAGACCAATTTGAAAACTGGACCCAAAATTTAAAATCTAAATACACGGTTAGATTTGGCATATCAAAGAACAACAATAATTCAATTTTTGATGAAATAAAACAAAGTTTAATTTTGGACCCTTTTGACCTCAATATGAACCAATTTGATAGCAGGGCCCACAAATAAAAAATCTAAATACATGGTTAGATTCAGCATATCAAAGAACCCCATATATTCAATTTTTGTTGAAATCAAACAAAGTTTAATTTTGGACCCCAATTTGGACCAACATGAAAACTGGGCCCGAAATAAAAAATCTAAATACATG